ATAGTGTGATTTCTTTATATTTGACTGGAAACCCACAAGTGGCTATCATTAGAGTACTCCAGCATTTAAATGTGAATAAATCTTTTGTGTCTCGTACCATCGCTCGTTACCGAGATAATGGTAGCGTAGCCCGACGTCAAGAAAGTGGATGGAAGAAAATAGCAACATCAGCAGAAATGGTTCGAAAAGTAAAGAAACGACTTGATCAAAACCCGCGTCGCAGTGGCCGAAAAATGGCTCGTGCGTATTCCATTCAGCAAATATTGAAAAAAGAGCTCGGGGTAAAGCCATTGAAATTCCAAAAAGTGCAAGAACTTACATCGCAACAGAAAGAAAATAGACTCAAAAGAACTAAAGAGTTGCTTCGCTTGGCCGAAAGTGGTGAACAGCCGAATTTGGTTTTCTCCGATTATTAAACATTCGTTGCTCAGCAGTTTGTAAACGAACAAAATGATCGTCTTTACTTGCCAAAGAGATCAGCTGAAAAGCGGCCATGGTGATGGTGTGGGTCGCCATAACAGCCGATGGTCGCTCTACGCTCGTATTAATGGACCGTGGCATCAGAATAAATGCCGAACATTATCGCGAAAATATTCTGGAGGATGTATTAAAGCCCTGGGCACGCAAACATTTTGGCCGTAGACCTTGGACATTCCAACAAGACCCTTGCACTCAGCACGCGCCACCCAAGAATGGTTACAAAATGAGGTTCATCGCTCCATTTCCAGCGCACAGTGGCCACCAAAATCCCCGGATACCAATCCGTTGGACTATTGTGTCTGGAGTATTTTGGAAAGCAAGGTTGGCACCAAAAAATACCAAAGTGTCGATCACCTCAAGCAAGCGCTTCGCCGGGAATGGGCCAAAATACCGCAGAACAACATTCGGGCAGCGTGTGACGGTTTCATCGGCCGTTTGAAGTCCATAATTCATGCCAAAGGTGACAGATTCGAACAAATCTAAACTTATTCTAAAATTTAATGCTATTTCCCATATTTTCTGCTTTCATTAAATAAAATTTTAAAATAATGTAAAAATTATGGCGTTTGACTTTGTTGCAGTTTTTTTATCTCACGCTGTATCTCGATTTAGCGATGTTCCTCTGTGGAAATGACTCTAGCTTCCGAACGAAATAAAGTAGATTGACAGAATTTTACTCAAATGTATATTATGTCTGCAGGATATTTGGTATTAAAAATGGGCCATGTAGGTCCACGTTTTGGTATAGCGCGGTACCTCCCGATATTCGATATTTTGATGATTTTAGCAACATTATTCACCGGAATCGTTTAAAATTTCGTACTGGAAGATCCTAATGGGTATTACAACCTATGGCAAAAAATGTTGTATGCAGGTCCAAGTCTTCGTATAGACCCCATATAATGGTACCTTCCTTTATTCGGTATTTTGATGATATTAGTGACATTATTCACCGGAATTGTTTCAAATTTGTTACTTGAAGGTCGTAGTGAATACTACAGACTAAGACAGAAAATTGTCTGTGCAGCTCCACGTCTTCGTATAGCCCCCATATAATGGTACCTCCCTATTTTCGGTATTTTGGTGTTTTAATCGACTTTATTCATCGGAAATGTTTCAAATTTGGCATTTGAAGTTCGTAATGGATACTACAGCCTATGACAGAAAATTGTCTGTCCAGGTCGACGTCTTCATTAGCCCCCATATAACGATACCTCCCGATATTCGGTAATTTAATGATTTTAGCTACATTATTTACCTGTTTTTTTTTTTTTAAGTTTGGCATTTGAATTTTGTAATGGCTTATGACAAAAGTTACCTATACAGGTCCATGTCGTCGTATAGACCCTAATATAACAGCTACATTCGGTATTTTTATGATTTTAACTGAATTTTTAATGGATTTTATTGTTTTTGAGAATTGCCAAATTTGTTCTAAATGGTGGAGGGTATTCAAAGTTCGGCCCGGCCGAACTAACAGCTTTTTTACTTGTTTTTTATTAGGATGAACACAATGGGTCTCTCACGTTCATTATAATTTTCATTTCATCGATCTCGCTTTCGTTGGAGTTCTTTAAGAGCCAAAAATGTCATTTATCTCTTTTTTCGAAACATAAAGAATATCCCAACACGGACCTGAAGGAGATCCACTTTTTTATAGAATATGTAAATGCATTGTTAAGCTTTCAAGAAAAATGATTTAAATTTAATATTTTTTAATACTTTATGATATTGCATTCCAGCATTCGCAATTATTTCCCAAATTTGCATTAACTCCAGAATTTCGTCTGCTGTGTAGTTCATTCTAGTGGATGTCAGATTTATGCTTCAATTAAATGAAATATATTTTTTTTGTTTGTGGTAATTCGTATTCATTGTAGTTTTAGTTTCCACCGAGAAGGCAAACAATACAACAACATCTGAATAATTTGTAAATATTCCATTGTTTTGTTGTTGTTCGGTTTTGTTGTTGTTTTTTCTCTCCACTGTTAATTATTTCATTAATTTATAATTGCGCGCGCTATTTTCCAAATGATATCATACAAATATATTTAGAATCTCGTTTGTTTTTTTTTTTTTGTTTGGTGTGAGTTCGCATTTGTTTAGTTTAGCGCGGCAAGGAATTCATGGTACCACCGAACATATCAATCCAAGAGAAGCAGCAGCGCCACCGCCGAAATCCACAAGATTTTTTGATATTTTGATTTATAAGTCAGCAAAAAACAACCATTGACCTTTGTTGGAAGCACAGAAAAAATGTAGTGTTAATTTTTGCTAGATTTTTATGGAGATACATCTTCATTAAGTTTTGCAGCAGCAGCAGCGGATCGTGTTTTGAAGATTATCAATATAAACAAAGTTGAACGGAATTTTCTTTTCGTTTGGAAGAAGGGGTAATTTCTAAGACATTTTTTGCTTCCATTCTTTTTAAGTGAAATTTAATTTTGAATAAGGTATTACTAGCCCCACTTGTTTGAGGATGGAGCAGGTGGCTCAATTTGCGGTGGTCGCGGATTTAAGAGTCTACTTTAAAAATATGAAAATACTGGTACCGGAGGTACCAATATGTGCTATACCAAAAAGTGGACCTCTATATGCTATGTTCCGAGACCGGAGCTAGAACCCATTGCGAACTATAAATACCAATTTTTAGACAAATCCGTGGAAAAATGTGGCAAAATCATTAAAATACCGAATAGCCGTAGGTACCATTATAAGGGGGCTATACCAAAACGTGGACATGCAACGACAATCTTCTGTCATAGGCTGTGGTATCCGTTATGAACTTCAAATACCAAATTTGAAACAATCCCGGTGAATAATGTAGCTAAAATCATCAAAATGCCGAATATCGGGAGAAGACGTGGATCTGCACAGACAATTTTCTGTCATAGGCTGTAGTATCCATTACGAATTTCAAATACCAAATTTGAAACATTTCCAGTGAATAATGACGCTAAAATCATCAAAATATCGAATAGCTGGAGGTGCCGTTATATGGGGGCTATACGAAGACAACTTTCTGTCTTAGGCTGTAGTATCCATTACGAACTTCAAATACCAAATTGGAAACAATTCCGGTGAATAATGTTGCTAAAATCATCAAAATACCGAATATCGGGAGGTACCATTATATGGGGGCTATACGAAGACGTGGACCTGTATAGACAATTTTCTGTCTTAGGTTGTAGCATCCATTACGAAATTCAAGTACCAAATTTGAAACAATTTCGGTGAATAATGTCGCTAAAATGATCAAAATAACGAATATCGGGAGGTACCGTTATATGGTGGCTATACGATGGCGTGGACCTGTACAGACAATTTTCTTTCTTAGGTTGTGGTATCCATAATGAACTTCAAATACCAAATTTGAAACAACTCCGGTGAATAATTTCATCAAGATACCGAATTTTGGGAGGTGCCTTTATATGGGGGTTATACGAAGATATGGACCTGCACAGACAATTTTCTGTCATAGGCTGTAGTAATCATTACGAACTTCAAATACCAAATTTGAAACAATTCCGGTGAAAAATGTCGCTAAAATCATCAAAATACCGAATATCGGGAGGTACTGTTGTATGGGGGCTATACCAAAACGTGGACCTGCGTGATCAATTTTCTGTCATAGGCTGTAGTATCCATTACAAACTTCGAATACCAAATTTGAAACATTTCCGGTGAATAATGTCGCTTAAATCACCAAAATACCGAAAATATGGAGGTACCATTATATGGGGACTATACGAAGACCTGGATCTGCACTGACAATTTTCTGTCATAGGTATCTATTACAAACTTCAAATACCAAATTTGAAACAATTCCGGCGATTAATGTCGCTAAAATCATCAAAATACCGAATATCGGGAGGTACCGGTATATGGGCGCTATACGAAGGCGTGGACCTGCACGGACAATTTTTTGTCATAGGCTGTAGTATCCATTACGAATTTCAAATACCAAATTTGAAACAATTCTGGTGTGTAATGTCGCTAAAATCATCAAAATATCGAATATCGGGATTATGAGGACTATATGAAGACGTGGAACTGCACAGGCAATTTTCTGCCATAGGCTGTATTATCCATTACGAATTTCAAATACCAAATTTGAAACAATTCCGGTGAATAATGTCGCCTAAATCACCAAAATACCGAAAATAGGGAGGTACCATTATATGGGGGCTATACCAAAACGTGGACCTACATGGCCCATTTTCAATACCAAAAGTCCTGCAGACATAATATATATTTGCGTAAAATTTTATTACTCTATTTCATTTCATTCGGAAGCTAGAGTGATTTCCACAGACGGACAGACACGAGGACATCGCTAAATCGACATAGAATTTTATGCTGATCAAGAATATATAATTTGTGAGGTCTAAAATGTATATTTCGAGGTATCACAAACGAAATGACAAACTTAAAATACCCTCCATACTATGGCGGAGGGTATAAAAATTAGGTTTCTATATCGAAATAATATTAATTACATTCCTCTCTCCCACTTTCAGATTTTTATTGCCGTGAAAGCTATTTTCCAAAGAAAGCAAGAAAAAACCCCCCAAACAATAATCATGGCTAAATTTATGTGAAAACTGGAAAGAAAACAACCCCTCCCAAACACCAAACAATTGGTTGTAGTTTGGTTCTGCAGAAGAAATTCGTTTGGAAGTGCAAGTGTTTTTTAGAGAGAAACAAAAATAGGAACACAAAAACTTTCGGAGCCGAAATGCCTATACCGAACAGCACATCGGCCCAACAGCTGCGTCCATTAACACTGGCCGGGCCAGAGCGTGAACCTGTGCAATTTACCGTCAACCTGGTGGGGGCACCGGCTGAAGTTGAACAATTGGTACAGCAAATCAAAACGGTTGCAGAACAATTTCTCTATCACTGGAAGACATTTCCAATAGGTGAATATTTTCAATGTTTCTGGACGAAATTTACTAAAATTTATTTTCTTTTTTGTAGTTCTACCCCAACCCTTATCTGCCGCTGCCTTAACCTTAGGCGGTGGCGCATCAGCTGGCAATAATGGCTCCAACACGGTCGGCAATCGCAAGCCGCGACCCATCAACTTACGTGATTTATTTATAGCACCACCATTCGATGAGTTGGATGCCGTGGCCACGGATGGTACCGGAGAGCCTCGACGCCTCACCAATTCCCAGCTGAAGTCATTGCGTGAAAATGGGTAAGTATGAGGGGTAGTTGGAAGTTTCGGCATTAATTTTAGTTGTTTTTTTGGTTTTCTTTTTTGTTTTATATTTGTTAGGGAAATTTTTTAGTTTGATATCGCTTCAATTTTTGTTTTTATTTACATTTTCGTTGCCTAAAATTGCTAAAGATTAAAAAATTTGAATTTTTCAAGAAAGTCATTAACATGCATTTATCAAAATCATGCAGAGCTCATGTAGAAACAAGAACCAATACAAAACCAATAGAATTTCAAATAGACAAGTTCGGAGTCCAAGCTGAACAAAATTCCAACTAAACAATTCCTTACCACAAAATTGAAGGTGCTCTTTTTTAAAAGACGAGCAAATTTATTGAAGAAATTTGTTAATTAAACCCTTTCTATAAATTGGCGACTCCCTGGGCCTCCAGCTTGTTAGGTAAAGCTGAAAATGTTATTCCAATTGGGGTAGACTGATCTCCTAGTATGTGTTGAGACAATTTCCAGTGAATCCTCGACGCTACCAAACTTGCCATATTTCACCCGCATTATTCTGATCTTTAAATCCTCTCATTCCGACTCGACAGATTACCTGCTAAAAATCGTTTTCCCTGCATTTACCTGTACCAGCTTTTTCAGCATGTCGACACTATAGCTCGGCTATATAAACTTACCGCCAGTTCAGCTGGTTAAAATATACACATACTGGAGCGTTCAGTACTTTTATACAATTTTTTAGTCGCCTCCCCTTCCTAATGGGTTATATAGACGAATGCTTGGACCATTTAGTTCGTACATTCTCACCTGGTCAGGCCGCCTATATAGATTCCCCTTACCAATCAGCTCTTGGATATAAAAGATTTCCTGTCCCTTCCATCTCTACCCTGTTAAGCTAGACTATATTGTTCTCTTCCTGCTACGTTTAACTCATCCTTTCGACAAATCCTTGTTTTTTTAGCTCGTCTACATATACGACTCTTTACCCTATTCAGCAAACTTATATGGTCGACTCCATGGTCCATTCAAGTCGTCAATACAGGCGAATCCCTGACCTGTTAAGCACGTCTACACACACAACTCTCTAGCGTGTTGAGCTCGACTTCAGGTCGTAACTACAGTCGACACCCTGGCCCGCCAGCTCGTCTACATATAGACGACTCCCTGGCCACCCACCTCGTTTGTATATATACGACTCCCTGGCCAGCCAGGCAGCTCGTCTACATATAGACGGCTCCCTAGCCAACAAGATAAATAGACTGCCACCCATTTCGTCTAAACATGTGCGACTGCTTCAGGTCTTCAATAAAAAATTATGGGTCTTTCAGCGCTCCTTGATACTATCGGCTCCCTGGAACAAAAGCTCTTCCATGAGGATTCTCTGGGCCACTAGCTCTTCCGTATTAAACACTAGCCCTATTGACTTGATTTCTAATAAGATTGATCTTTCAATGCTCGTCGAAATATGTACTTGGGGTTTCAGGTCTTCAAATAAAAAATAATGGGGCTTTCAGTTTTCCCTGACCCATTTAGCTCATCTCTAAAGAGAATACTACCTGGTCCACTAGTTCAACCACACGTTTTCTCTAGCCACCATCTCCCCTATAAGGACTCTCTGAGCCATTAGCTTCTACATGCGGACTACTTTTTCCATCAGCTCTTCCATATTGACCCTTAGGCCTGTTGACTTTATGTCTAAATAGACTGACATGTGTCCTTTGTCTTTAAGGTCTTCAATTAAAAATAATGGGCCTTTCAGCTCTACTTCTTGCCCTGGCCGGTTCAGTTATCCCTGACTCCTTCAGGTTATTTCTATAGAGAAGACTCCCTGTTTCGCTAGTTCCTACATAAGTATTCCCCGGCCACCATCTCTCCTATAAGGACTCCCTGAACCATCAGCTACCCCATAAGGACTACCTATCCCACCAGCTCTTCAATATTGACACTAGGCCTGATGATCTCATTTCTTAATAGGCTCACGGTTCTCTGGTCTATGTATACTCTTCCTTCTTTCAGTTCTTCTTGGTCCATTCAGTCCAGACCCTTTCAGGTCATCTCTATAGAAAAGACTCCCTGGTCCGCTAGTTCCTACATAAGAATTCCCTGCCGACCCTTCTTCCTATAAGGACTCCCTGAGCCATCAGCTACTCCATGAGGAGACTACTTATCCCACCAGCTCTTCTATATTGACCCCTAGACCTGATGATCTCTTTCCTAAATGTACTCACCGCCCTCTGGTCTATTTACACTCTTCTTTCATTCAGCTCTTCTTGGCGCATTCATTCCAGACCCTTTCAGGTCATCTCTATAGAGACGACTCCCTGGTCCAAAAGTTTCTACATAGGAATTCCCCGGCCACAATTTCTCATATAAGGACTCCCTCAGTCAGTAGCTACTCCATAAGGACTATCTGTCTCACTAGCTCCTCTATATCGACCCTTAAATCTGATGATCTCTTGTCTAATTTTACTCACCGCCTTCTGGTTTATGTATACTCTTTTTTCTTTCAGCTCTTCTTGACCCATTTAGTCCAGAACCTTTCAGGCCATTTCTATAGAGAAGACTTCCTGGTCCAAAAGTTTCTCGATAAGAATTCTCCGGCCACCATCTCTTTTATAAGGACTGAGACTACCTATCCCACCAGCTCTTCTATATTGACCCCTAGACCTGATGATCTCCTGTCTAAATATACTCACCGGCTTCTGGTCTATGTAATGACTACCTATGCCACCAGCTCCTCTATATTGACCCCTAGACCTGATGATCTGTCTAAATATACTCACCGACCTCTGGTCTATGTGTACTGTTCTTTCTTCCAGCTCTTTTTGGCCCATTCAGTCCAGACCCTTTCAGGTCATCTCTATAGAGAAGAGTTCCTGATCACTACTCCATAAGGACTACCCATCCCATCAGCTATCCACTATCCATCTGGTCTATGTACACTCTTCTTTCATTCAGCTCTTCTTGGCCCATTCAGTCCAGACCCTTTCAAGTTATCTCTATAGAGAAGACTTCCTGGTCCACTCCCTGAGCCATCAGCTACTCCATAAGGACTACGTATCCCATCAGCTATCCAATATTGATACCTAGACCTGATGATCTTATTTCTAAATACACTCATCGAAATAGACTTCGAAATAGGCTTCAATTCTTTGATATATAAAATTATGATCCACTCAGTTCTTGCCTATATAGACTACTATGCCTGTTGAATTGGATCTTCATTTGGATATTAAGACAGGCACCCTAGCATTCCTTCCTTCATAAAGGGTACATGGCCTTCAGCTCGCCGCAATTGCTCATTAGCTTATTTATACAAACCAGTAAGTGGTCTTAAGCTCTTCCATTAAGACCCCTTGGACCTTATGTTCCTATATAAAATCTGCTTGGATTTGGAGCTTGAATAAAGAGGTTCAACGCCAGAAGACCTTCTAGTCTTAGATCCTCTGAAATACATACTCTTATTATAATCCCTACCATAAAGAATCTCCGACTTTATATCAATTTTGAACTTCCAACCTAATACGAATTGAAGCACTGCTTTTAAAACCTATAAAGAATAAGATAGGATAACATAATTTTATAATAAATTTCTTAATTTCCAATTCTGTATTTTTACAAAAAATATATTTATTTCTTTCAAAATTGTTTTCTTTTTCGGAAATCACAAAAATGTCAAATTTTTTTTTTATCGAAATTTGTTTGTTTTTAAATGCTTTTTGCATGTGTCTGAAACTCATTTCATCGTCATCATCACTGGCATCACAACCACCTCACAACACTTCACCTCATTTCATTATTCACTCTCACCTCACCCATCAATCAATCACACACTCACTCGATATCATCTTCATAATCATTTCTGTAATCCGTCTTTACTTTCAAACAATACTGAACTGAAAAAAAATATCAAATTATATTCTCTTTCTATATTAAAAACCAAATCACAAAAACAACAACTACAACAATCAATATCTTGTATATCCGTATTTCTAATTTGCATTAACAACAAATTTACTACTACCACCAACAACAAAAATCTAAAAAAATTAAAATTAACCAAAAACACACACACACTCACAAAAATAGCTTACAAAAGGACAAATATGGAAAACCCAAGAAATTAACTTTGGAACAATTGGAAACCATACGTAAAAATGGGTAAATACAACAATAATAAATAATAATCAAATAAAGAAAATATTAGTTCATTTCAACTAAATTTTGAATAAATAAACTATATTTTATTAAACCATAACATTACCAGACAGAAACATTTGAATGAAAACAGTTCAAATAAATGTCTAATATCCCCCTCCCCATACATAAATGTTTTTTTTTTTTTGTTTTGTTTATATAGAGATAAATATTTTATGTAACTATATTCAATGTTTTTTCATTATATTCTGTTTGGTTTTAATTATGAATTGTTCTTTTTTGACATAAATTAAAATTTAATTAGTCAGAAATATATGTTTAAGAATATTTCGTTTGTTATATAAATTGTATTAAAATTTTTTTCACAGTAATTGTAATATTAAATAATGGGGATATTTTGGTATTATTTGCCGGCCTTTGGAAAAGTATTTGGTATAAATAAAATATTTCTGGGAGAAATTTTTATTTCAAATACCAGGAGGTCTCTTAAAGACATTTTAGCAATGGGAAAGCCTCCTGGGAAGTCATCTATAAAGAGAACACATATTTTCTACTTTTCATAGTGGAGGGTATAAACTAAGGAAAGGGGGATATTTTATATTTGTCATTCCATTTGTGACACCTTCGAAAATTCATCGGATACTCCATTAAGCACATATGTATATTCGTCCAATTGAAATAAAAATACAACCAATGTTTTTTTTTTTTAATTTGGCCATTATTAATTGTGTCTACGAATATTGGTATTGAAAATGAGGGAGTTTTCGTATAGCCTTCATATTACGATACGATCTAGATCGACTCCAAATGTCTTGAAATGGATTTGGTCCATTAGACCTATGGTCTAAAATCGTTATTTCCATGGAATATTTTGACAATTTTTAGAATTTTTAGAACAATTTGAAATGAAATTTTTAAAAATGATTATGATAGGCGCGCTTTTCATTAAAATTCAAAAAATCCAAAGGTGCCCTTATACTTGGACCAATACAAAACTGTAAACCTATATGGACAATGTTCGGCCAACAATTTTTTTTTTCAATTTCATTTCAAATTGTTCTATAAATTGTCAAAATATTCAATCGAAATAACGATTTCGGACACTAGATCTCTTTGGATCAAATCCATTTCAGAACATGTGGGTCGATCCAGATGTGTCTGTCTGTCTGATTGGTGTAAATCATAACTCTCGAAGGGAGTATCCGATTTGGTCCAAACTTGGTACATTGTAATATAATTATCAAACTAAGAACGAGTTCGGAGATGGATAATATCGGTCCACTCCTTCTGGTACATAAACCAAAAAATTTCAAAATTTTCAAAAAAAAAAAAAAAAAAACTGCACAGAAGGAGAAAGCATCATTCGATTTTGCTAGAACTTTGAAAGGATCAAAATTTTGAATAATTATAACTCTTATAAAATGTAACGTAAGAGTCCGATTGCCTTCAAATTACACACTTTACAATATTTTTATTAAACGAAGGTCTAGTACGAAGATGGAATATATCGATCCGCTCCTTGTGGTACCACTCCCACAAACGGTCAAAGTTTTGAATATCCAAGAAGCTCATCTAATTAATTTCCGATTTCATTTGAACTTGGTACATCTCAATATTTCTATCAACACAAGATCTGTTATAAATATGGTAGAGGTTGGACCATTTCTTCTGGTACCTTCCCCACAAAGGATCGAAGTTTTGAATATCCAAAACGATTTTAAAATCTCTCCACAAGGGGTCGCAATATCCATGAAGCTCATAAATCACGAAATTAACGAAATTAACATCCGATTCCATTCAAAATTTGCACATCTCAATATTTCTATCAACATAAAATCTGTTATAAAGATGGTAGGGATCGGACCATTTCTTCTGGTACATCCCTCACAAAGGGTCAAAGTTTTAAATACCCAAAACGATTATAAAATCCGAAGTGAGCATCCAGTTGTCTTCAAATTTCACACATCCCATCATCCACATTAACACAAGATCTGCTGTGAATATGGAATATATCGATCTACTCCTTCTGGTACCTCCCCCACAAGGGGTCAAAATTTTGAAAAGCCGTGAAGCTCATAGAACGCGAAATTAACATCCGATTCCATTCAGACTTGGCACATCGTAATATTTCCATCCACACAATATCTGGTATAAATATGGTACGGATCGGACCATTTCTTCTGGTACCTCCCCCACAAAGGGTCAACATTTTGAATAACCAAAACGATCATAAAATACGAAATAAGCCTCCGGTTCTTTTCGAATTGCACACATTCCATTATTTCTACTGACACAAGATCTGCTCTTGATATGGGATACATCGGTCCACTCCTTCTGGTACCTCTCCCACAAGGGGTCAAAATTTTGACTATCCATGAAGCTCATAAAACACCAAATTAACATCCGATTCCATTTAGACTTGTTACATCTCAATATTTCCATCAACACAAGATCTGCTATAAATATGGTAGAAGTCGAACCATTTCTTCTGGTACCTCCCACCACAAGGGGTCAAAATTTCGAATAACCAAAACGATTAGAAAATCCGAAATAAGCATCCGTTTTTCTTCATATTTCAGACATCCCATTATTTCTACTGACACAAGAACTGCTGTGGATATGGGATATATCGGTCCACTGCTTCTGGTACTTCCCTCACAAAGGGTCAAAATTTTGAATATCCAAAACGGTTATAAACTCCGAAATAAGAATCTGGTTCTCATCATATTTCACACATCCCATTGTTTCTACAGACACTAGATCTGCTGTGGATATGGTATATATCCGTCCATTGCTTCTGGGACATCTCCCACAAATGGTTAAAATTTTTAATATCCAAAACGATCATAAAATCCGAAATAAGCATCCAGTTCTCTACATATTTCACACATCCCATTATTTCTACTGACACAATACCTGCTGTGAAAATAGAATATATCGGTAAACTCCTTCTGGTATCTCCCCCACAAGAGGTGAAAATTTGGAATATTAATGAAGCTCATAAAACGCGAAATTAACATCCGATTCCACATCCGCTTTCCATCAACACAAGTTGGTACCCCCAACATAGGATCCAAGACTTTCAAAAACAAAACAAAATAAGCATCCAACTCTCTTCAAATTTTACACATACTAATATTTTTGAGAACACAAAATCTGTTTCGAACCCCTTCTGGTACCTCAGCCCAAAAGGGTCACAATTTTCAATACTTTTATCTGCCATACCTTCCGAAGCAAGTCAGCGATTCTTTTCAAATTGCTATATCTAAATATCTTTCTCAACCAGAAACCTGAGATGAATATGGAATTTATGATTTCGCATAAAATTGGATATAAATGTTCGATTTTCTTGTAATTTTGCCCATACCAATATTTTAATCTGTATTAGATGAAATATGAAACTGGAATACTTCGGTCGACTATATCTGGTACCTAATTCAGGCACATTTCAACATTTTCTAAAAATTATCCCATATTAAGTGAAGAAAGTAACCAATATAATCCAAACCTGGCAAGTCACACTATTTATATCATATTTAATTAAGTCCGATACGAAATGTACAATATTGGCCCATTCCTTCGGAACCTAGTCCATAGAGGGTTAACAATTTGAATAATCATAGCAGAAGTCAAAATATACTTATAAAAACCGAACATTGGCTGAGGAAATACAATGGGAAGTACTTGGAATACAAACTCTTTTTAACTTATGTTTTTGGAAGGTACCCATCGATCAAAAGTGATATGGTGTGGGATACGTTATTTATATAATGAATACTTTTGATTCTTCCCAGCAAATTTCAAACCTGGTTATCAATCTTTTATATTAACAAGGGTTACTTAAACTCCATTAAAAAAAGTATTTGATTATCAGCTTCGGCCAATTAAAGTCCTTACATAAGTACTTACTTAAAGGCTTTTACTGTTAATTATTTTTAATTATTTCTTGCGACATATCCTTGTTAATATATGGGTTTATATACCCAGATTTGTAATAAGAATTTTTGCTGGCTAAACATTCTCTATATTTCAATTAAAGTAAAAATTAACAATAATAGTAATTTTAATTATAAAATTTCAGTTCAAAGATTCATTGGAAGTATATTTATGTACATTGATATTTTATTTTAAAAATAAACAAAAAAATTAAATTGTTTTTTTGCATGCCAATCTAAATTTTTTTGAAAAATCATATTTTTTTGGAAAACTTTTTATCCTTTTGTATGTTAGAGTATATGTTTTATTATGTGTTAAGTGTCTATAATTACTAATACTATCACTACTATTACTAACACAATTAACTAAATACTGTCACAACATTTTATCCTTAAACCTGGTCATCAGAAAAAAATATATTTAGTAAAACATCAGGGCTGTGGAGTTGAGTTGCTCGAGGGTAGACTAACAGCAAAGTCATGGAATGAAAAGTATTGGGAATATTGGTATACCATTTCATAAAAACAACAATCCTACCTAATAAACAAAGCAAAGATGCATTTTTTATCGGAAATAATTTTCGAGAAATGACTATAATTTTCTTCACAAATGTTATGAAAATTACGTAATTTCCAAAATTACAAAAAAAATTAATAATAATAAATAAATAAATAAAAATAATAATGAATAAATAAAGAACGAGTAAGAAAAAATCAAAATTCGAGCGGGGCCGACTATATGATACCCTACACCTTTATGTATATTTAGTAGAGCTCCTGTAACAAAAGAATTTATTTGAAGTAAATCATACCACCTATCAACATTTGGCTTTAGAGCAGTTATAGTTTGGTTTCAGAGGGAACTAATATATGGGAGGTATATCCAATTTTAAATCGATTTTCACTAAATGTTGACTTAGATATTTTTATCTTTTGTACCAAGTAATATTGCTATAGAGAGCTTGATATCAACTCGAGAAGGATTATTTAAAAAAACATATCGGAGCCGAGTTCCACCAAATTAAAACGTACGTCACGAAATTCACTCCATTTGGGCTGATATTTGCACCTGGTTGAAGATATATAGGGGAGCTACATCCAAATCTGAACCAATCTCGATAAAATTTGGCATAGGTATTTCCAAGCTCTATATGATATTTGGTACCAAATATCATTGTTGTCGAATGCATATTACGAATATGAGGGACTTAAAACCATACGAAAACATATATATGACAGCTAAAGCTATGTCTGAATCGATTTTATAATGAGAGCTACATTCACATCTGAGCCGATCTCGCTAAAATTTGGCAAAGGTATTTCCGAGCTCTATAAGATATCAGGTACCAAATATCATTGTTGTGAAGTGCTTATTACCCATGTGAGGGACTAAAATCTCAAATCGGTTGAAACACATATATCGGAGCTATAGCTATGTCTAAACCAAAATTCACCAAATTTGATGTACTTGCTTCTAGACTGAATTCGGTGGGATGTGCCAAAATGCAGATCATTTGGACTGTTAATGGCCATTTGGTGGACAATTAACCCGAAATCGGTTGAAGATATATAGGGGAGCTATATCTAAATTTGAACAGATTCTCACCAATTTCAATAGGGTCCATCCTTGGGCCAATCAAATATTGTTTCAAAAATGTCATCTCAATTGGATAATAAATGCGACCTGCATTTCGTTCATAAGAATGCATGAACAGACGGACGGACTGACATGCATAAATCAACTCAGAAAGTGATTCTATAAAAATCTTCAAAAGGAACTATGGATCTATCTCGCTTCCTTCTCCATGTTACAAACAAACGCACAAAGACATTATAGTTTAGATTTTTTTTCGAATAGATCACCTTTGGCGCGAATTAAGGCCTTCAAACGGCCAATGAAACCGTCACACGCTGTCCGAATGTTGCTCTGCGGTATTTTGGCCCATTCCCGGCAAAGCGCTTGCTTGAGGTGATCGACAATTTGGTATTTTTCAGTGCCAACCTTTCTTTCCAAAATACTCCAGACACAATAGTCCAACGGATTGGTATCCGGAGATTTTGGTGGCCATTGTGCGAGGGAAATGAAGCGAGAAACATCATTTTGTAACCATTCTTGGGTGGCGCGTGCTGAGTGGGATGGTGCTGAGTCCTCTTGGAATGTCCAAGGTCTGCGGCCAACACGTTTGCATGCCCAAGACTTTAATACACCACCCTCTAGAATATTTTCGCGATAATATTCGGCATTTATTCTTATACCATGGTCGATTATTACGAGCGGAGAGCGACCATCGGCTATTATGGCAGGCGGCCCACACCATGAACATGGCCGGCGCTTGAGTTCTGGTGGCCAACCGAAGATGCACATTTTCAGCTGACCTCTTTGGCAAGTAAATACGATCATTTTGTTTGTTTACAAACTGCTGGACAACGAATGTTTTCTCTCTCGTCGGAGAAAACCAAATTCGCCAGTTCACCACTTTCGGTCAAGCGAAGCAACTCTTTAGCTCTTTTGAGTCTATTTTCTGTTCGATGGTACGAGACACAAAAGATTTATTCACATTTAAATACTGGAGTGCTCTAACGATATCCACTTGTGGTGTGTCCAGCCAAGTATAGAAAAATAACACTATCACGCTTGAATTCCATCAGGAATAAGTTTTTTTTTCTGGAAAATTCTCACCAAAAACCTTTTGTACGCTTGTAAACAATATAATGAACTGTCACTGGAATATTTTTAACAGCTGTCGGACGAGTGTCTTAGAAATGACAGCAATCTGAAGTTGGTTGCAGTTTTTTCATCTCACTCTGTATTCTTGATTAGCGTCTGTCCGTCTGTGGGAATGACTATAGCTTCCGGACAATATGAAGTAGTTTGATAAAATTTTACTCAAATGTATATTATGTTTGCAGGAATTTTGGTACTCAAAATGGGCCGCGGAGATCCACATTTTGGTATAGCCATCTTATAATAATACCTCCCTATTTTCGGTATTTTGATGATTTAAGCGACTTTATTCACCGGAATTGTTTTAAATTTGGTATTTGTAGTTCGTAATGGATAGTACAGCCTATGATGGAAAATTGTCTGTGCAGGACCACGTCTTCGTATAGCGTCCATATAACGGTACCTCCCTATATTCGGTATTTTGATGATTTAAGCTACTTTATTCGCCGAAATTGTTTCAAATTTGGTATGTGAAGTTCGTAATGAATACTACAGCCTAAGACAGAAAATTGTCTGTACAGGTCCACGTTTTGGTATAGCCCCCATATAATAGTATCTCCCTATATTCGTAATCTTGATGATTTTAGCGACATAAATTACCCGTATTTTGTTTCAAATTTGGCATTTGAAGTTCGTAATGGATACTACAGCCTATGACAGAAAATTGTCCACGCCTTCGTATAGCACCCATAGAACGGCACCTCCCGATATCCGGTATTTTGATGATTTTAGCGACATTATTCACCGGAATTGTTTCATATTTGGTATTTGAAGTTCGTAATGGATACCACAGCCTAAGACAGAAAATTGTCTGTGCAGATCCACGTCTTCGTATAGCCCCCATATAATGGTACCTCCCTATATTCGGTATTTTGATGATTTTAGCCACATTATTTACCGGAATCGTTTCAAATTTGTCATTTGAAGTTCGTGATGGATACTACAGCCTATGACAGAAAATTGTCTGTGCAGGTCCACGTCTTCGTATAGCCCCATAGAATGGCAGCTCCCGATATTCGTTATCTTGATGATTTTAGCGACATTATTCACCGGAATTGTTTCAAATTTGGTATTTGAAGTTCGTAATGGATACTACAGCCTATGGCAGAAAGTTGCCTATATTGGTCCACGCCGTCGTATATATCCTAATTCGGTATTTTTAAGATTTTAACTGAATTTTTATTTTTTTTTGAAAACTGCCAAATTTGTTAACCGAATTTTTAACGGATATTATTTTTTTTGAAAATTGCCAAATTCGTTCCAAATTATGGAGGGTATTTAAAGTTCGGTCCGACCGAATTTACAGCTTTTTGGCTACTATAGCTTAAATATGTTTACTATCGTATTCCGAAATATTGTCGATGTCGGCTATGACAAAAAATGGATTTTAGTCAGAAAAATCGAAATCTGAATCAGTGTGCGCCGTTGACTTATATATCTCATTTCACTAGAAATTTTGGAATTTTTTCATTAAAATTGAAAAGAGTTTCAGTTATTTGAAAAATGGGTTCTTAATACGGAAATTCTGCTTTTGAATGTCTATTTGTATATAAAACTTTCTTTCGGGAAACCCAACTCCTCCGGCCTGATACCAATACAAACTGCCCGCCCACCTAATTTAAAACATCAACCCAAACCAACCACCCCCCAAAACACAATAAAAATTAAAAAAAGCTATACAAATCTTTCATTGTAATTTCATGTTAACATATTTTGGTATTTTCTTTTTTATATTTTGTTGTAAAACTTATTTAAAAAAGAAATATGTAAAAAATTCTGCTTGAGTAGCAAAGCTTCAACAATGCATGTTAGATAAAAAAAAACAATTTTCTCTAAATGTTAAATATTTGATGTCCTTCCAAGGAATAATAAATAACCACAAAACTAATACCTTATTTTTCTTTTTTTTTCATACCACCCCTATCTCCCTCCCTTCCACCGCCTGCAGAGAATTTAATGTGCCTAGTCTACACTTTCCGGGTCAGGTCCACAAGTGGCGTTTGTCACAACTGCTGCAAAAGGGAACATTGCGGGCCCATGATTCCTTTTTAAGCGATTTGGCTTTGGCAGCTAGATTTTTGGTGATCACCGCTCGTGGCCGTATATTCTCACATTTCTTCTCCGTTTGTCATGCAATCCATGCCCTGCTGCATGGCCTCATCAAATTGGTTGATATGTTTATTGGAGTGCCGGCATTGCTGGCCCACAATTTGGACTACAAAATCAAGGAGGAACGATGTCGTTTTTTAATAGCCGAGCTGGTGTGTAGGGTAAGTGTAACAAGTCTCCAAAAACCATTTTTTAAATTGATTTTTCCTCCTCTCTCCTTTCCAGCCCGAATTCGAGGACTGCCTGGACGGGCTGTGCTCCTATGTCCGCAAAATGCTGCGCCGCGCCACAATGGAGAAATTCGATTTTAACAGCTGTGAAAGTACACAGCCCGTGCCATATCTATTCCTCACGCCGAAAGGTCAAGAAATCGATTTGCGTCTCTTTTGTCGCGATATCATGCGCAAGGCATTGCCCATTTTGATTGGCATATTGGAACGTGAAACCCGTGGTTGGTTTCTACATTTCCGTGAACGTTTGATAGGCGAATTAAGAGATAAAAAATTGACCGACAAGGAAATTGAGGAGGAGGTAAACGAGGCTGTTATGAAGGAATATTTGCAGAGAGTCTACACCTCGATTATGAATAATCCCAAACTGGCCGAATTGGGTCATGGCATACCCGAGCTGTTGGTGCAACAGGCTCAGGCAGTGGTCATAATGTACAAGGCCGTGGAAAAGGTACAGAATGACATTAAACGATCACGTGAAGATCATGAGAAATGTTTGGCCAATGACCATGCAGTGCTGTCGCGAGTGGCTCCATGGTTAAGGGCCAAATTAAGGCATGCCGAGGAGTCAAAACTCTCCAAGTCTGCTTGGTCGGCCCATGAGGAGGCCTTGAAGATGTGTACGAAACAAAATCTGCATCAAACGGCCTACTTCCTTAGTCGTGATTTGGCCTTTATGAAGGAACGCGAACCGGTACTCCTAAAGGAGCTGAAAAATGCCAAAACTCCCACGCGCAGTTTCCAGTGGGCCTGTCGCATTTGGTCTCCCAAGTCGTGGATAATCAAACGGAATTTTCAAGGACAATCGGATATCATACCCACGGTAATAAGTCAACAGGCCACCTCCATTGTTACACCACGTTCGGATCCCTCGCAACCGGTATTTTTGGTGGAAAAGGAAATCATTCGGACCACAAGTACCCGCTGGCCATTTTGGCGTCTACTGAATCTCATGCAACGAACCTGGTGTTGGACCTGGAATATGATGTTTCTCTTGGGCATCCTGGTGCCCTGGTGTAGTCCCCTGAGTCTGAGAGCCCTATTCTGTGTTAAGCCTTTCATGCCTGATTTAGAACTGTCGCAAATTAATGGAACTCTATTTCCGCGCAAGACAAGCATAACACAGACTATGGCATCGAGGTTGATAGAACTATGGCGTCACATATCAAAATCGCGGACACATTTCGAAACGGAGCCGGATACGGGTAAATATTTGAAGTAGATGTTTTTTGGCGTGATTAATCTCTCTATTCTCCCCTTAGGTTTTATTGGCAAGGGCTTTACGCGCAACCTAAACCGTGTTTGGAACTACTTTGTAAAGGGTTTTCTTGGGACGGTGGTCATATTGTTTGCCTTTCCGCTGCTCTGTTTGGCCACCAGCCTTTTGAGCATTCTACTTGCCTTAACTGCCCCCTTTTGGATACCAGTCTTCACCATACTCCTACACATCTATATGATATTAATCTATGATCTCGATTCGCCGGATAATACTCGTAACCGTTACTGTATACTGCTGGAGGCATTGATATGGAATATTCTAATACAGGGCTGTGTGCAGCCCATTGTGGCTGTATTTGTGGCCAGTGTTGTGTGTCCCCTGGTATCGGGTATTATACTGATAGGTGAGAGCGAAAATAAATAAATCCCTAGAAATTAAATTTTAATATCCGTTTTTTTCCAGTTGGGGTCATACGTTACTCTCTGCGCCTGTTCTGGGACTCGCTCACCTTCCATTTGTTCATTAAGAAATGTGGCCGTATACCAGCCTCCGATAGTTTGGTGGTCAAACGTATTGCCGGACCGGGTTTAGCTTTAGATTATTATTTCGTTATACGCCCGGAACAGGCCTTGGCTGCCTTTGAAGCCAAAATGGAATTGGATGAATTGCAAGCCTATCAACATGCCATGGAACGCATAATACTTACCCCACAAAAAGATTTTTCACAATTTGTCGAAGCATGCTTTGGCCCATTTTCGGCTCAACTATCCAAGTCGGGTCCCTATTTGGCACTGGATCGTGAGGCCCAAGATTTGACTGCAACACTGCATGAAAAGTTGGAGAAACGACGCCGTGAGCTACAGACAAATTTAACGTCTCAGGTGAAATCGCGCATTAAATTAACCACAAAGGAATTAAAGGTAGGATTGAATTTGATTTTTTGCTTGCGATTTTGCCTTGATTGCAGAGAGAAGAGTAATGATGTCGAAAAAATAATGATATCTTCAATATTTTCAAAACTAAGAAATATCTATAGATAAGAGATGTCAGAGATAAAGCAAGTTGTAAAGAATCGCCGATTTGTATTGGAAATTGTGACCCTTTATGGGTGATGTACCAGAATGGGTTAGCAGATGTATGTCATCTTCACAACAGATCTTGCTTAAGCAAAAATGTTAGTGTGTGGGAGATTTGAGAGATGGATATTGGTATTTGGATGCTTATTTCGCTTTATTTGAACGTTTTGGTTATTCAAAATTTTAACCCTTTGTGGGGGAGGTACCACAAGGAATGGTCCGATCTCTACCATCTTTCTAGCAGATCTTGTGTTGATGGAAATATAGGGATGTGCCAAGTCTGAAAGGAATCCGGCGATATTTTCGCGTTTTATGAGCTTTATGGGTGCACCAAAATTTTGACTCTTTCTGGGGGAGGTACCAGAAGGAGAGGACCGATACATCCCATCTTCACTCCAGGTTTTGGGCTAATAAAAACATTGCGATGTGTGTAAATTGAAGAGAACCAAATGCTTATTTTGGGTTTTATGATCGTTTTCGTTATTAAAAATTTTGACCCTTTTTGGGGAGGTACCAGAAGGAGTGGACCGACATTTCCCATCTTCACACCAGGTTTTGGGCTAATAAAAATATTGTGATGTGTGTAATTTGAAGAGAACCGGATGCTTATTTTGGATTTTATGATCGTTTTGGTTATTCAGAATTTTAACCCCATGTGGGGGAGGTACCAGAAGGAATGGCCCGATCTCTACCATTTTTATAACAGATTTTGTGTTGGTGGAAACATTGGGATGGGCCAAGTCTGAATAGAATCGGATGTTTATTTCGTGTTTTATGAGCTTCATGAATATTCAAAATATTGACCCTTTGTAGGGGAGGTACCAGAAGGAGTGGACTGATATATTCCTTCTTCACACCGGACCTTAGGCTAATAAAAATATTGTGATGTGTGTAATTTGAAGACAATGGGGCACTTTACATTTTATAAGAGTTACAATTATTCAAAATTTTTAACCCTTTGTGCGGGAGGTACTTGATGGAGTGGACCGATATTGTCCATTTTCGTACCTGACCTAGCATTAATGCAAATATTAGGATGTGCAAAGTTAGAGCAAAATCGGATTATCCTTTCTCTTTTTGTGCAGTAAATTATTTTCTTTGAAAATGTAGACATTTTGTGGGGGAGGGAGGAAGGAGTGAACCGATATTGCCCATCTCCGAACTCGATATAAGTTTGACAATAGTATTACGATGTACCAAGTTTGGATCAAATCAGATACTCCCTTCAAGAGTTATCGTGTACACCAGCCAACCGACCAGACAGACGGACAGAAATACCTAGGGTCTAAAACCTTTATTTCGAGGATGGTCGTATCAAATGATATATACCCTCTGTAGCTATAGACTGAGCCTGTAGCCATATGACTGAGTGTATAGCCATACGACTGAGGGTATAAAAAGGTGTTTCAGATTTTTTTTGTAAGACTTTGTAAAGTTCACTTGTTAATAGAAGTCCTCAGTTGATGAGAGCTTTTAAGAGGTATTTTATAGAGCGACACATTATTTTGGATCTTTTGCATATAGAAGGCCCCTTGGAGGTTTTAGCCATAGATGATTTTCTAAGGGTCTTCTGTAAACAGAATAGTTTCTAAGAACCTTCTTCAAGCCTTTGGAGTATCCTGTAGGAAGAAATCATCTTTAAATAGAGTTAGAGAACATAAAACGAATTTGAGGTAATTGAGGAAGATCTCCATGCGCACTTTTCCTCTATATCTTTTAGAGTCTTACCCCAAGGACCCTTCGTGCTTTTGGATCACGCAATGCTTTATTCTCGTGGGCTTCAAGACATTCCAATCGATTCTCCGGAAACAGCACCTTATTAATTTTCCTATTTTCTTTTTATTCTTCCATTCACAGATTGCCATACAACTTGCCGCCCATATCTTGGAGAAATACTATCCGTCTCATATTATAGCTAGATTATCCATAAGCGAAGAAGAATTTTGGGATAATAAGGTGAGACCCACACAAATAACCCTAAGAAGGACCAATAAATAAATTCAATCTATTTTTCTCTTTCTTCCAGGGCTTAACCGTCAACGATTGGCCCGGTTTAGCCGGTCTCATCTATACGGAAATATTTAGTTTAGATTTTCTAACGCCACTCTTAGAGAACGATACCCATTTCAAATTGGAACCACATCCGACATTGGATCTGTCACGCTACAGTGAAATGGTACAGAATGCCACCGATGTTATTGGTTCCAAGGGTTTAGATTTACTGGGTAATGTCTATGCTCCGCGTGGTAATGTCCAGGTACATTTACCATTTCTGGAGGTGACGGCATTTAATCCTCGGTCGAGAATAACACTGAATTTTAGAAAGCCCGATAAGAGGTAAGTCTCTTTACATTGATGGTGGTGGTTTTTTATAATATTTCTCTGTTTACAGGGACATGTCTGTCGGCTTGACCACACCTCGCGTACGCGCCCATCGTGCAGCTCAACAAACAAAAACACCTGAGACCAAAAAACCCTGGCGTCCCTGGAAGAAGAAAGTCGATGAGAAGAGTGTCACCGAAAAACTTTTAATACCTCTGCCAGTGCCGCATCCTGTACATATAGCGATTAATATTTACAATCGTGATGCTGAACATCCCATACCATTGGATTCGGAATTGGTGTGGGAAATCTTGAAATCCATCGAGGATTGCCAGGGTGGTGATGCAATGGTAAGTGTGGGAAAATTCCGCATAAAATTTTCATGCACCTGTAGGTCTTGAAATTTCCTAAAAAAAGTCCTGTAAGAGACTTGTAGAAAAAGGTCCCCGGTCAATAGTATTCCTGAGAATAACCTTTGTCAAATGACCTATTAACCACAGAGGGCTTTTAGAATGTCTCTAAATCTAAACACCTGTAAAAGATCTTCTGTAGCAGCCTTTTAGAAGTTATTCTGAGAACATGCTAATGGATTAAAGTTTTCCGAGTGAATCAGTTGTCGACAGTTCGATGAAGCAGTGCATCGTTAAACCAAACCAAATTCTGACAACTGAAAAACCTTCTAAAGACATTTTATACATAGAGACAAAGACAAAAAATGGTATTCGATATAAGATACTATTCAGAGAACTCTATTGACAAAAATATTTCCAGATGTTTTTAAGGATAGAATATTTATTTCCTGACTATCTTCAAGAAACCTACAGACAGATAGAGGTGCATAAAAGCTTCTAAAACTATAGAATCCTTTTCAGTGACTTCTGTACTTGCAGGAGAAGGTCCCCGGTCAATAAAATTCCTGATCATATTCTCCGCAATTGACGACGCTTAAAAGTTATTCTAGACATAAATTGATAGCTTCCAGATACAGGGGTTTTAGGACGCATCTAGATATAGAGAACCTTTAAAATACCATTAAAATACAGAATACCTGTAAAATGTCTTCTGTAGAAGTCTTTAAGAAATTATTCTAACAACATGGACTGCAGCCTTTCTTTAACTGAAATACCTTTCAAAAATCTTCCATACATAAAATATCTCCAGGTTAGTCCGCAAATCAAAAATGGTATTCTTTATACCACCATTTACCATTCAGAGGAATTTATTGACAAACAATTTTCCTCCTGAGGCCGTTTGTGTACAGACTATCTTCCGGAAGAATATCTTCAAAAGGTATAGAATACTTCGTTTGAGGGTCTAATACATAGGGAATATCTTGAGGAGCCTCCGTACATAGATGCTACGTTGAGGGATTCTTATAAATAAAATACACTTTGAAGTTCTCCCTTACATGGAAGACCGTTTGAGGATTTTGTAATTATTGAAAGCCTTTTGAGTATCTCCTATACAATAAACACCTTCTAAGGGTCAACATACTTAGAAGATTTTCGAGAATCTTTTTATACCCTCCACCATAGTATGGAGGGTATATTAAGTTTGTCATTCCGTTTGCAACACATCGAAATATACTTTTTAGACCCACAAAGTATATATATTCTCGATCAGCATACAATTCTATGTCGATTTAGCGATGTCCGTTCGTCTGTGGAAATCACTCTCGCTTCCGAACGATATGAAGTATTATGTCTGCAGGACTATTGGTATTGAAAAGGGGCTATGTAGGTCTACGTTTTGGTATAGCCCCCATATAATGGTACCTCCCCATTTTCGGTATTTTGATGATTTTAGCGACATTATTCGACGGAATTGTTTTAAATTTGGTATTTGAAGTTCGTAATGGATACTATAGCCTATGACAGAAAATTGTCTTTGCAGGTCCACGTCTTCGTTTAGCCCCCATATAAAGGTACCTTCCTATTTTCGTTTTTTTGGTGATTTTAGCGGCATTATTTACCGGAATTGTTTGAAATTTAGTATTTGAAGTTCGTAATGGATATTACAGCCTATGACAGAAAATTTTCTGTGCAGGTCCACGACTTCGTATAACGGAACCTCCCAATATTCGGTATTTTGATGATTTTAGCGACATTATTCACCGGAATTATTTCAAATTTAGTATATGAAGTTCGTAATGGTTACTACAGTCTAAGACAGAAAATTGTCTGTGTAGGTTCACGTTTTGGCATAGCCCCCATATAATGGTATCTCCCTATATTTGGTACTTTGATGATTTTAGCGACATTATTCACCGGCTTATGACAAAAGTTGCCTATGCAGGTCCACATCCTCGTATAGACCCTGATATTACAGCTACATGCGGTATTTTTAAGATTCTAACAAAATTTTTAACGGATTTTATTTTTTTGAAAATTGTCAAATTCGTTCAAAATGGTGAAGGGTATTCAAAGTGGAAGTTATTCTGATTGAAATATAAACCTTCTGAGGGACTTTAATAAATGAAGACTATCTGAGAGCTTCCCACAAGACTATTAGAAAATAGTTTATACACAAAAGTTATTCTGATGATATTTTATACAAAGAGATCTTTCTGATGGGTTCCTGGATACATGATTTTCTGAGGGTCTTCCGTACACAAATGTGCTTCTAAGATACTTCTTTAAAATAAAGGCTTATTTAGAGCCTCCTTTAAAAATTTGATATGATTCTTAGAATAGCTTTAGAGGGTCTTCAATGCATTAGAAACCCTCTCAAGCTTTCTTTACATAGAAGACTTACCTATGGTAGTGTCTACATAAAATAACTTCCAAGAATCTTCTTTAAATAGAATGCTTCTAAATTTCTTTTTAATATTCCTTCTTAATATTCAATAAATTTATCTCGTACAATTTCCAATACTTAGAAGGAATTCAGGTTGTCTTCCATGCATTAAGGACCTTCTGAGACTCTCGACACATTTACGATATCCTGAGGCTAGTTTTTACCTAAAATATCTTAATGCTTTTTGAAGATCCAGTGAGGTTCTAAAAAGAATAATTTCTGATTTTTCTATATAAAATTTATTGCATTTTTCCATATGATGAAGATCATCTCAGGGTCTTCAAAGCATTAGGGCCTTCTGAGTCTTTCTGCACAAAGAGAACTTAATAAGGATATCGTTATGATTCTTCCTTAAATACAATACTTCCTGAAGGACTGGCAATGATCTTTAATATGGAATACCATTTAAATTTCATCATATCATATTTCTAACATTTTCCCATACAAAGAATATCTTCAGTGTGTCTTCAATATGCTGAGGACTTCTGTATATAAAAGAAATACTGAGTTTTCATATGGGGTTTCTTTAATGAAAACAATTATTGGAAATCCAAGTGATGTCCTTGTATATAGAAAATACCTCAATACATATGTCTCTAACATTTTCTTTTGTTTTTTTTTACTTTTCAGGCTGTAGCTCAACAATCTGTGGCTCATTATCGTGGAGCTGTAACAGAATCTAGTAACGATTCGCTGGCATCCAGCAGTAGTATAGGAAGTACAAGAGAATCAGCTTCAGCCACCGGTTCCGGTTCGGGTATTGGCAATGGCACCGAAACATTGCCATGTGTCAATCGAGAGGTAGGTTCTTTGATTTTGATTAATTTTTTAAATTGATGACTTTCCATTTCTTTACCGTTTTCAGGTCTGTACCCAAGTCAAAGTTGCCGAAGAACAACCGCCCAGCTCTGGTTTTCATTGGACCCTAAGTAATTGGGGTGCAGCACAAACTGCCCGTAGACGTACAAATTCAAATGTACGCGTAGATTTAGCCAGTCCAGAGGATATCTCATTAGATACGGACAGTTCAAGGGCTGTCTTTAATCCATATGGGACAACAGTTTAGAATACTGTGTGTGTCTATTGATCCAGCAGCATTATTATGATTATTATTATTATTATCGAATAATATGAAACTAAGTATCGTCGTCATATGAAAAAAAAAGAAAAACAAAAATCATTTGAAACAAAAAACCAACCAAAAAAATAATGTTAATTAATGGTAAATTGCTTTTTTATTACTTTTTATTAGATAAACAAAAACAAAAAAACCAACAAACACTTTTTATGTGTTTGCCAAGTATGAACAAAAAACAAATCTCTCGTAAGAACAAGAAATATGTAAAGCGAAAACGCAAGTGTTCTCTTTTCGAAAAGGATTCACTTGCCCCAGTCATTAACCGAACAATTCTAAAAAAATATGAATCAAACTAACTTTAAAAACAAATAAACTCTAACTCTCTCCCTCTCTCCTCTACATATATATAGATATATAGTTATATAAATATAATATATATATTCATATATATAACAAAAATATACATCTTTATATAGTATATATATATTTCCATTTACATGCATACAAAGATATACATATACTTATACAGAAAAAAAAAAACGAAAAAAATCATAATACCTTTATACATCAAACAAATACAATACATAGTGTATTTAAGAAATATCGTCATAACACAACAACAACAAACAACACATTACATTTTTACCGACTCACATGCGAATTGTTGTAATATTTTATGACATAATCGATTATCAATGCTCTCTTTCTTTGCAATCGTTTGTATTCTTTAATGATATCCAAACTATATTTTTTAAATGTTTTTTTCTATTTTTTTACACATTTACATCTAGTCGTTTATATAAAACATTATATATATATTTTTTAAAATAGAAAGAGGCAATAAAATGTCATTTGTTTTATATATATTTTCACATATAAAATGCACTGCTCCGTTTTTGGAAGAATAAGGAAGGGTAACTTAGATGATGTAAAAGGCCCATAGAAGTATTAAAAAATAAGGGAATTTGTAGCGAGTAACTTCTTTACAGATACCTAATTTATAGACCAGATAGCAGATTTGCAAGCTTTGATTGAAAGAGGTGTTTTCTATAGGTCTTCTATTGATAGAATGGCAGTTTCTATATGTCTTCCATATATAGGAGAATCTCGATTGGTCAATTACTAAAGAACTTTGTATAATTCTATATACATGTAGAAAACCTCCTACAGTTTTAAAGAATTACGGGTTTTCTGAGATTTTCTGTAAAAAAGGCATAAAAAACAACTATAGACCTTTAAGAAAAATAGCTTTCATACATCTATTTTATTCTGGCCGATGGCCTTTTCCTGGCGTCATAAATATTTTTATGTAGAAATCAGACATCCAATTTTAGTTTTATAGCTAGGATTGCAATAAATATCTCGTATATATAACTTCTTTGGACAATCAGGTCTTCAATAAATAACGCTATAACGCTCTGTACTAAAGTCTTTGGGTTTCTTGGAGTCTTTATTGACGACAAGAGAAGAGCATTTAAAAACTACCACAGGATATTGTTATTCAAAGCGGAATATTTACAGCCCTACCAAATACAATTTTTCAAGTCTTCTGAAAGAACTCGTTTTAGAACCCTTGAATAGGACACATAAGATAGACTTTTTATCTGGCAAAAAAATTTTCTTTATATGCCAAAGATATTTTCAAATTTACGTGCAGAAGAGGGTCTTTATAGACCAGAACAGAATGGCCTTCATAGATGTCTATGAAAGTAGCCTTTAGGCAAGTACAGTGTTTTAATGACCAGCAGAAATGAGTATTTTTGGAGGACCATAATGCGGTCTTTTATAGCCGAGAAAGGAGTCGTTTAAATGGTTTTATTGGCGAGTTTAAGAAATTTATATACACTTTCCGGAGGTAGACTTTATATACCAGCCAGAGCAACGAGCCTAAAATGTGCCGCAGGAAGCCTTAATAAACGAGTCGGAGGGAGTCTATCGACGAGACGCTGGGAGTCAATATAGGCGATCCGAAGAAGGTCTTTATTGCCGAGCCAGAGGGAGTCTGTAGACAAAGAAAAGGGAGCTGTCCCTATTGACGAACAAGGTAGAAGGGAGTAGCAGAGCAAAAGGGAGTTTTAAAAGATTTATATAGATGAGACCAAGGTCTAGAGGCGAGCCAGAGGGAGTCCTTATACTTAAAACTTCAAAAGGTAGTCTTTATAGACGAACAGAGTAGGAGGGTGTCCATGTAGATGAGCAAAGGGAGTTTTTAGAAATGACCTGAAGGGAATCGTTATAGACAACCAGAAGGGAGTTCTTGTATATGACCAGATGAGATTCGAGCTGATACCATTATTTTTCGGAAGACGAGAATGGACAGGGACTATTCAGAGGCGACCAGACGAGCCCGAGGAAATCTTTATAGGCGAGCCGGAGCGAGTCTTTATAGTAGAGCTGAAGGGAGCCTTTACAGACTCTAACAAGGAAGAGTGTACAAACCTTCAGAAGGGTGTCTTTATAGACGAACTAAGTGGAAGGAAGTCCTTATAGTCAAGCAAAGCAAAAGGAAGTCTTTAGAAACGAGATGGAGGGAATCCTTATAGATGACCGGAAAGGACTCTTGTAGGTGATCAGATGAGAGACGACCTGATATCATTCTTTTCCAGGAGACGAGAAGGGGCTATTCATAGGCGACCAAACGATGACCAGAAAAGAATCTTGTAGGTGACCAGCTGAGAGACGACCTGATATCATTCTTTTCCAGGAGACGAGAAGGGGCTATTCATAGGCGACCAGACGTTAGTCTTCCAAATGAGCAGTTTTATGGGCTACCAAACATTCAGATGCTCTAGTCTAATATTTTTTCGTCGAATATCTGACCACATAGTTTAATATTTTTCTATAGCAAACTTTTTAGAAAAAATCCTCGTGTCATCAGAGCTGAAGAAATGGAGTGAGTCTCTCGGCTATGATGTGACCATCGAGTTTGATATTGTTCTATAGAAAAATTCTCAGTCCACCAAGACAGGGCTTTTTTCTATAGAAAAATTCTCAGTCATTCAAAGTTTATGTTGACCGCAAATGGACAGAATTGATATTTTTCCACCAAAAAAATTTTAAGACCCTTAAGAGGGATATTTTATGAGAAAATTATATAGACTGACATTTTTCCAATAAAAAAACTCTCCATATGACTATTTTCAGAACCTCAGGGCTGATATTTTTTAAGACCCTTTAGGCTGAAATTTTTTCACTAAGGCCCATTGGGCTGATTTGCCTGTTCTTCAAGTTTTATAATTTTCTTTAGAACAATATTTTATGTCTTCAGGTTGGATTCATAGAAAAAAAATACAGACCCAGAACTGTTATTAGGCCTGATTTTTTGGATGATGGACTTCTATAAAAAAACATTTAAAATTGTTAATTTCCAAAGTTTGATCCTTTTTCTAGGGGGTTGATTTTATCTCCATATCTCAGAACTTTAGCATTTTTAAAAGAAATGCTGATATTTTTCTTAAAAAAATCTAATTCCACAGAGCAGATTTGACTGTCTTCTGGTGATTTTTTTAATACAGACCCAGGATTGTTATTTGGCCTGATTTTTTCTATAGAAAAACAACCACATGCTATCAGAGATGATAGTTTTCTGTAAACAAACTTTACAATTTTTATAAAAAACTTAATTTCCAAGGTTTGATCCTTTTTCTAAGGGATTGATATTATCTCCTTATCTCAGAGCTTCAGTATTGCCATTTTTTATAAAAGAAAGGATGATATTTTTTCTTAAAAAAATTCTAACACCCACAGAGCTGATTTGACTGTCAACCAGGTCTCATGTTCTCTTCTTTGGAAAAATTTCTCGATACTTTTGGTTTTTTTAATAGAACAATTCTCAATCTCCCAGGAATGAGAATAAAAGAACATGTAAGGCCACTGAGCTGATGTTCTTGTTCTTGTTCGTCAAGTTCGATGTTTTTTTTTTTAGAAAAACATACAATGTCTCCAGGTTGGATGCATTTTTTAGAAAAACAATACAGACCCAGGACTCTTATGAGGGCTGATTTTTTTCTATAGAAAAAACTTCATACCATCAGAAATTATATGTTTCTGTAAAAACACTTCATAATTTTTAAAGAAAAAAATCTTCATTTCCAAGATTTGATCCTTTTTCTAAGGAATCGATATTGTCTCCTTATCTCAGAACTTTAGTATTGTCCTTTTTTTACAAAAGAAAGGCTGATATTTTTTCTTAAATTAAATAACACGTACATCGCTGATTTGACTGTCATCTAGATCTAGTGTTTTTTTTTAATACAGACCCAGGACTGTTATTAGGCCTGATTTTTTCTATAGAGAAAAAACTCATAACATCAGAGATGATATATATCTACAAAAATACTTAATTTCCAAAATATGATCCTTTTCTAGGGGAATGATCTTAACTCAGAACTTCAATGTTGCCCTTTTTATAAAAGAAAGACTGATATTTTTTCTAAAAAAAATTCTAACACCCACAGCGCTGATATGATTGTCATCCAGGTCGGATTTTTTTTGGAGAAATTCTCCATTCTTTAGGTTTGATTTGTCTATATTGATATTTTTTATACAAATAATTCCCAGTCTCCTAGGATTGAATTTCCCCATGGATTTTCAAACCTCCAAGTTTTGATTCTTTAAAAAAAATCTCAGAACCGAGTGAGTGAATGCGAGTCATTAAATATGCTCTAGAGGGAGTATTAATAGCCTACCAGAACGGAGTTTTTATAGATGACCAGCACAGATTTTTTATAGATGGTATGAAGGTTTTCTTTCTTGGTTAAGAGAAAAGAGTCCAGACAGTCAATTCAAATGGTCTAGTTATAGTTTTGGAAGATGTTTCTTTTAAGCCAGGTTCATTATTGCTGAACTTATTTTTTCCTTAACGTATGTTTAGAAAAAAAATCAAATTAATTCTATATTGTTGATATTATTTTATATACACACCATATTTTTTACATAAATATTCATATAATTTTTTGTTTATATCCTCACACCACACACACATATGCGAATGGTTTTATTATCATTTACAACTGCACTGAGATTATAGTTTTTGTAAGATTTTTTTTTACTTTTTTTTTAATTTATAAATGTACAAAAAAATATAAGTGTAATAAATTTTTATATTTTTTAATATTTTCCTAATTTGCATTACTCTCACACACACTCAAGCACTGCAATACACATCACTATTATTTTTTAAGGCAAAACTATATTTTACTAATTTAATTTAAGCATTAACAATTTAATAATGACATCAATTGTTTTATAATACAAAAAAAAAACGAAAATTACAAAAACAAAAAAATTTGTATATGTTTAAAATGTTTGTTTTTAATTTTCTCTAAGATCAAAACTTTTGATTGTGATTCGAAGCCGTTCACTAAAGATGAAAACCAATTAAACAAAAAAAGTTAATAAATAACAACAAAAATGAACAAAGAAAAAACATTTAATTTTTAACTACTGCTACTGCTGAACATGTTTTTAGGTTATGTTTTAATGCCATAACATAATGAATTTTAAGCTAATTAAGAAGAAGAATAACAAAAATATACAACTCAAGTCAAACTGAAGCAAATGCATTTTTTCAAACGAAATGAAAATCTCCATAAAAAATATAGAATCTTTTTTTTTAATTAAAACTAATAACTAAGCAGAATTTATACTTTAAAAATGCTTCCGCCTCCAACAACAACATAAGCAATAATCAATCGATTTATGTTAAAAAAAACTGTTCAATATTTAAACACAGACTATCATCACAAAAACACACACATTCAGGAACAGAGAGTCTTTATAGACAAGGTGAATCAGGGCAGTCTTTAAAGGAGCGAATCTGGAATTTAAGACCCTCAAGACGGATATTTTCCAAAAAAATCTCTAAACCTACTTTTTATAGAGAAACTCCCAGATCATTAGGACCGAAAACAGGGTCCAGGAGTAACATTTCCTCATATAGAAAAAGTCTCTGACCATGGAGTTTGATATTTTTTAATGGAAAATTTTCCAGATCATAAGGACTGAAAACAGGGCGGAACCTCAAGATTAATATTTCCTTATATAGAAAATTTCACTGAATATCGAGTTTGATATTTTTAAATGGACTTAGATGTTTTTCTACAGAAAAAAATCTCAGATGATATTCTCGTAGACTGTGAATCTTTCTAGGCGACTAGAATAAACTGTAGAGTGTTTTTATAGGCTGGCTGAAGAACAGGGAGTATTAATAGATGCGATGAAGTAGAAAGTCCTTAGATCAGCCCTTAAGGCTTCATTTTTTTTAAATAGAAAAAAATTCTCTGCCCATCGAAGTTGATATTTCTATCGGGTCCTCATGACTGATATATTAACAAAATAACTGGCACTTGGACTTATTTTTTATAAAAAAAATTCTCAGGCCATTGTCTCTAGAGGAGGAAAATCTTGGATTGAAAAATCCCAATACCAATAGTTATTTTATAGGAAATTTCTCTGGCCATCCACGTTTGAAAAAAAAAAATACTCAGATGGGAGTTTTTAGGGGCGACCAGACTGAATTGACGCCAGACTTTACAACGTCCTGCCAGGATTGATCTAAGAGCATTTTTGATCCAAATGGCGATTATTATTTTTCTTTTTTAAATTAAAAATATTTTAATTCCCCTGGGCTGTTATTTTTTGTGGACTGGCATTTTTCATAAAAAAAATCGTTTCTATAGCTTGTCCTTTGGTAATAGGTTTTGATATTTGATTGGACTTTTTTTCCAAATTTAAGCTGATATTTATTAAAACCCTTGATTTTTATTAAATCCCTGATATTTATTAAAACCCTAATATTTATTAAAACCTATTATGTAAAAACATGCAGTATCCGAGGACTGTCATCAAGGCTTTTTTGTATATATTTTTCGAAAAAATGAAAATATTATTGCAACAAATATCAGTCCCTGAGGAAAATATAAAAAAATATCTGTTTTCAAGGTTTATTATTTTTTTTATAGAAAAAATTATCTCTCCCCTGGTGATGGATTCAATTTCTATAGAAAAAAATTCTCGTTCACCCTATACTGGTAATTTATATGAAATAAAATTTCTTTCTCACCGAGCTTTTAACAGGGCTGATCTTTTGAATTGAAAATAAATCTCAGACCATGAAATGTTCATTTTTATAAAAGATATGTCCCGATTCCTTTTCTAAAGGTTTTTTTCTTTGATTTTTTTATTTCTCAAAACCTAAGGCTGAGCCAATTGCTACAGAAAAAAATCTTTGATTTTTTATTTCTCAAAACCTAAGGCTGAGCCAATTGCTACAGAAAAAAATCAGGCCCCCAGAGCTGATTTTTTTTTCATTCAAATCATGACTGATATTTTTTTTGTACAAAATTTCTTGCCAGCCCAGAATTGATATTTTGTATAAAAAAAACTTCAGATATGTGGAATTTATTATTTTTCCACAGATTTTTTTTTATGATTGTTCTAAAGAAAAAAGTGCTTCGAACGTCAGAACGGAAATTATTTCCCATATGTCTTCAAAACTTTACTTTATCTATCCTCCAAGACCAAAATATATTTCTTGGGAATAATGCTCTTTCCGTAGAAAAAAATTTCAAAAAAAAAATTAATAAATAAATAAAAATAAAAAACGGGGCCTACAGGGATAATTTATCTATCATCCAAAACCAAAATAAATATCTTGGGATTAATTCTCTATCACCTAGACTTCATCCTTTTTCTGTAAAAAAAAATTCCCAAAGCTCCACAACTGAAAAAACAACTCAAATCCCCAAGACTATATTAGTGCTGATTGTTTCCGAATGAAAACATCTCAGACTTTCACAGCTGATATTTTCCTATAAAAGCACAGGACTGATTTGAAATCAGGATAAAACCTTTTGGATCTATTTTTTTGGGATTGATCCCTTTTCTAAAAAAAAAAATAATTCTCAGCTATGAGGATCGATATTTATCTTTAGAAAAAATTGAACTTCTTTTTCATATATTCTTTTATAAAAACAAAAAAAAAAAAAAAAACAGTCTGGGACCATTGCTTGGGAGAATTTCCTGATCTCACGAGTAAGATGAGTTGAGGCAGACTGATTTTAGTTTGGTCCCATCATTTGACCGCTGGCAGATGAACAGATGAAACGAAAGTGGCTTAGAAACATGACCTATATATTTCGCAAGATTTTGATCTTTTAGATGTAGGGAAGAAATCAGACTCTCCACCCATATGTCCCTTAAATTTCGGGGTTTTTCGGTCCTTTTATGTTGATGTAAGTCCGAACCCTATTTTGGCGTAGCCATTGGGGTAGCACAGCCAACAGGGACGTAGAAAGAAATGAATTTCGAAACATACAAAAATGGCCAAAAAGTAGCCCCCAACCTGATTATGGCTTAGAAGAACCCTCAAATTGGAGATTTGTCCGCTGGGGAGAAAAAACAGATTCAAGTTTAAGATTTGAAGCTACAATTTCTCCTTCTCCATTTAAATAGAAATTCAAGTAGCATTGTCGGGGCATAATCGTGTCTTTTCTTTAGAACATCGGTCCATCGGGTCCATTATTTTATTGCGTCTTGCCTCTGGAGCACGATCTTAGGAATTGTCACTACTTTACATAACCGCTTGTAAGTCTTTGTAGGAACTGTTCCTCAGGTATTCTGAGCCAGTCTCATTCGTTTGATGGTGTTGTATATATAGTGGACTTTCCAGATGCCTGAAGGAGAATCTCCTGGCCAGACTTTAGAGAGACAGCTTTTTCCAGAAAACTACTATCCAGAAATATCCTATCCTGTATTGGAAAGAATTACGACGAGCTGTTGTGAAGTCGTGACCCCCAACGAATTTGTTTCGTCAACCTAAAGTAGATTGACCCTAGACTTTTTAGGACCATCTTTTTCATGATCCCAAGAACTGTTACTTTTCAGTAGCCTTGTGAGAAAGATTCAATTCAAAAATCATT